TTAAAAACAGCAAGAAAAGAGAAGGAAAAAGTAGTGTAAAGATTGCATAAGTTATACCCCTTGGAGAAGTAACTCGTTTGTTCACAAACCACAAAGCTTACATTCTCAAGGGTTGAGATTTGAGCTCAAGAACTGTAACGCCCCAACCCTTTACACGTCATCGATATTGTCCGCTTTAGGCCACACCTGCATGGATTTGTTCTTCCCAGTGGGTCACCCATCCTAGAACTATTCCAGCCTAAGCACGCTTAACTGGGGAGTTTTAATAGGGATTTCACCACTTGGGAAAAGGCCTCGATGCTATATAAGGGTCCAGGTTTTTACTTTTATAGCCCAGGAACTCCCCCTCCATTCTCGATGTAGGACACTGGGGCCTTACAATCCACCTCCCATAAGGCTGCACGTCCCCGTGCAGTAGCCTGCCAGCTCGCAAGCCCGCCCACATGCACCAAGAGACGCCAGGGGCCCACACTCGGTACTCCAGAGAGTCAGCTCTGATACCACTTGTAACGCCCCGACCCTTTACACGTCATCGATATTGTCCGCTTTGGTCCACACCCGCACGGATTTGTTCTTCCTAGTGGGTCACCCATCCTAGAACTACTCCAGCCTAAGCACGCTTAACTGGGAGTTCTAATAGGGATTTCACCGCTTGGGAAAAGGCTTCGATGCTATATAAGGGTCCAGGTTTTTACTTTTATAGCCCAAGAACTTCCCCTCCATTCCCGATGTGGGACATCGAGGCCTTACAAGAACCTCAGCAAGAAGAGTTAAATTTTTGGTTTAGGAAGTGAAGAGAGAGAGTGTGTAGGTTGCAAGATAGAGAAAGAGAGAGTACTATGCAAGTATTGGTCCTTAAAGAATTTTTCTAACCCTAATTTCCTTCACCAAAATTTTCTAACCCTTGTACCAAGATGGAAGGTCATCTATATATAGAAATACACGTGTCTACCTTGGAAATATCTGTATATGTACGGCTAGTGCAGTGCATGCACCTGTGGGAACAGCTGACAACAAATATCTGCAAAAACCTGTTCTCAGGAACAAGTGGCCGGCCGACCGGCCACTTTTAGTGGACAACCGTACATTATTAGTGGACAACCATACACTCAATGGGGATACTCGGCTGGCCAATCCACTCAAAATGGCCTAATATTTTACAACTGGCCAGCCGCCCACTTTAGTGGTCGGCCGCCCACAAAAGACTACACTCAAGTTTGACTTCAAACGGGTATATCTCATTCATTCGGACTCGATTTTAAGTGATTCTTGAGTTTAAATTGAAGTTCCAGAAGTCTACTTTTCAATGGTGATAGCCTCATATTTAAATTCTAAGTGTGCAAAGAGATATGCCTAATTTAGTGAAAGTTGCTCATTTCTAGCTTAATAGATTGATGCCCAACTTTTCCCCAAACTAGTTTTCTTCCCTCCCCACCTATTTCCTTCAACTCCAAACCTATAAATAAGATGTTTTAAAGATTTTTCAAAGAGTTCACCTCCCTTCCATGTATTTCCACTTTGTCCTTACTCGGTTTACAGAAAAGTGCAATATTTTAAACGAAATACGAGCTTCGGAACATCGTAGAAACATTTAAAAAAAGATTTCGAAAAAGAGGGTTTTAAGGTCTAAAATAGTTTTGGTCTAAAATAGGGTGTGAGGTTAGGATTTAGAAGCTCTTCTTGTTGAACAAATCGAACATTTGTACAACGTAACTTCTATTATCAAGTGATCAACCCGAGGTACCCAAGTCTTAATGTCGGTCAAAAAGGAAATAACTACAACGCTCATGAAGAAGGTTAGCAAAAACAAGTAACTCTCTATCTCTCACTCTAACTCTGTCTTTGCTTCATCTAACATTTCCAATCTAACTTGACCGTCAGAGTGTCTACGGGGGGTAACCGCTCCAATCCTGGTGTCTCCCTGCTAGACCTTCTGCAGGCATGCAGCAAGGAGAAGAAGGCCTACAAACCCATGGAACGTGTGGATCAGTCCGACCCATCCTCCATTGACCACATTGTATTATTAATAATATTTTTATGTAAAACCATAGTTTCAACTAATTTTTGTTGATGATATATTCATTATGTGAGGTGTTGATAGAACTTTTTTAATTCCATTTTACAAGTCCACAAGAAATTGTGTGAGAAACAAAGAATATTCTGTGAGAAATTGATATAAATTAGAATCGGTAAGACACGAAATATAAATAAGAATAATAATAAGAAATGATAAATCAAACAAACATGCAAAATATATAGATTTATGTGGTTCACTCCAAACTAGAGCTATACGATTGATGTGATTTTTACTATGATAAAAAAAAAAAAAAATTACAAAGTACAAGGATAGTTGTCTTCTCCTAAAAAGACCTGTGTGTTTTAGATGGATTTTTTTTTAAAAAAAAAAAGATTAATGAACTTTTTTCATATTTTAGTTATTTTTAAATTTTTTTAAAAAACATATAGATTAAGTGAATTTAAAAAAAAAATAAATATGCAAAATTTCAACAAAGATAAATAAAAACCCATTCAATAACAATTTTTATAAAATCAAACCAAGTAAAATTTTAATTTTTATCTTTTTATTTTTTTTTTCCATTCACAAATCTCCACAGTACATTAATGTGCCAAGGTGGGCCTTTCATTTTATGGTTGTGTTTTGTCCCCAATTGGATAGGCTAAAAGGATGGGGATTAATCGAGAGAATTATTATTTCAAGACTATCAAATCATTTTGAGTTGGGACAATTATATAAAAAAAAATCTCACAGTTTAAGTCTTTTAATAAAATAATTTTTTAATTTTTAATTATATTAATTTAAATTTTAATATTTTGATTTATTTTTAATTTAAATCATTCATATTTCATTAAGTAAAATCAACAGAAGAAATAATATTTTAGTCATTAAATTTCATATAGGCAAATATAAAATATTATTTTGCATTGAGTTAAATGACTAAAATACTCATTTTTAGATTTTACTTAACAAAAAATAAGCAAATAATTTAGATTAAAAATAAATTAAAAATTCGGAGTCTAAATTGACAAAATTAAAAGCTCATAGTTTATTTTATTACAATAGTCAGAGCTTGAGATTTTTTTTTTTTTGTGATTTCCCCAAAAATGTCATTTTATGGTTATACACTCTCAAAAGGATGTATATTATATACAAATTATGATATTATAAGAAATATATAATTAGAGTTAAGATGATTATTTAAAAAAGAATTGAAATTATTTAGATGTCGAAAGAGCTACAAGCATCACTCAAATTTCTTGAAAAAAAAGTATGTACATAAAATTAGTGCACAAAAATATTAAGAAAATTGTTATAGGATCCAAATTTAATTAATGTATTATATAGAGTTTATATAGAACAATAATTTTTTTGAAAATATTTTGAGATAATTTAAAAAAAAAAATTCAAGGTTTGAGCCTTGTAATAAAATAAACCCTAACTTTTCAGTTTTGTCAATTTGACTCCAATTTTTTTTATTTGTTTTCAATATAAATCATTCACCTATTTTTTATTGAGTAAAACCTACAAAAAAAAAAAGAGAGAGTATTTTAGTCATTGAACCCAATATTTTATATATAAAATATCATTTTTTATTAAGTTTAATAATTAAAATACCATTTTTTGTATTGATTTTACTTACTAATAGAAATAGATAAATAATTTAGATTGAAAATAATTTAAAAATTTAAGATTCAACAAAATTAAAAAATCAAAATTTAATTTGTTTTAAGGGTTAAACACTTCCGTTTGGTTCAATTTTTGAATTAGTTTTTCATAACCCAAAACCCAAAACTTGCTTGGTTTAGGGTTTTTGAAAACTCATTCAAAAATTCAAAATTCAAAACTCAAAACTTATTTAGTTTAGGATTTTTGAAAACTTATTTCAAAATCCAAAACCCAAAACTTGTTTAGTTTAATGTTTTCACAAAATTGACTATTTTGGTTTTCACAAATTGGCCAAATAATTTTTATGTTTTACAATTTGAAGAATGCAAAATCAAATTTAATAAATATATAAAATATTAAAGTTGTATTAATTTTTAAACCGGGTCAAGTTTTTGTGTGTATATTTTCTATTCTTCAATAATTTTATAAAAAGTTACATTTAAATGTGAAACGTTTTAAATGTATATAAATTGAGTTGATATAAAACTAAAAAAGAAGTATTAAAAGTTTTAAAACATTCATAAAAAAATTAAAAAAATGGAGTGAAACTTTCCCCTATAAATTATAGAAAAATGTTTGAGAGCTCTAAATTGAGAGCACTAAAGGAGCTCTAGAGAGTGGGTCCCACTGACTGATGTGATGTTTTGGCTTTAAGTTTTTTATTTAAATTTTTTGAATATTTATTTTAATTTTTTACTTATTAAATTTTTTAGAATATTTAAATTATTTAAATATTTATGATTTAAATTTTATGAATATTTATTTTGAATTTTTTTTTTTTCATTTGTAGTATTTTCAATTAAAAAATTGATTAATGTTATTTTCTATTAATAATAAATTTTTTTAATTGAATTTTAAAAAGAGTTTAATTATGAGTATTGATCAGAATTTTTAATAGTGTGAAAGTAGTGTGTTTTGTTATGAGTTATAATAATTTGAATTAAGTTTTGAAAATTTTTTCTAAAACTCATAACCAAACAAATTTTCTTATTTCACAAGTTAAATTAAACTTTCAAAACTCAATTTCACGCTCAATTCAAAACTCAATTCAACATTCTATTAAAAAATCATAACCAAACAAATTTTCTACACTCAAATCATAATTTCAAAATACAACTCATATTCTCAAATCATAGTTAGAAAGTCTGACCAAACAGAGCCTAAATTTAGATTAGATATACAAAACAAAGTAAATAAACTTTATTATAATATGGTAAAAATTTTTTTTGATTACAAGACAAAAAAATATATGATCCAAAAAAACTCAAAAACTAATTTTAAATTTTCAAATTTCTAAAAACCATTTTTAAAGTACAGAACTCAAAACTAGTTGGAAAACTTATAATCAAACAGGTTTTGAATTTTTAAAACTCTTTCACAAAATTATCTTTCAAAACTAATTTCAAAACAAAATGAAACACATAAGAATTTTTGGTGGCGCCTCTTCTTCGCAAAAGATCTCTCTCAGGCATGGCCGAATCTGCAACAACTGAAGCCTCCGAAACCCTCATAGAAGCAGAGCCCTCCACCCAAGACATGGACCTTGAAATCCCAATCGCCGCCACCGAAGAACAACTCCCTGCCGCCGACTCGAAGCGTTCCAGGGAAGATTCCGGCGAGGATAGCGGCGGCGCCAAGAAGCTGAAGGTTGAGAACTCCGCCGAGGAAGACCGATTGGATCAACTGGAAGGAACTGAGGGAGATAAGGAGTCGGATCGGGTCAGCGTTGGACCCAAGAATTTCGGATCCTCTGTGGAGATGTTCGATTACTTCTACAAGTTACTTCATTATTGGCCCCCCAATGTCAATGTCAACAAGGTAATATACTTCAAATGTACCTATTTTGTTTTTTCTTCATCTTATATATGTACTTTTTGTTGTGATTTGCTTTTTTATTTTATTTTTATGAATTGATTATTTACTTTGTGATCTAAATATGATTGATTATCTGCAAGTAATTTGATTTAACCACTGGTTATATGTCTGTCTTGGTGAATTGAAGATATGATAGTGTAGTGAAACCTCATTTATGAATTTCAGTATTGATGATGCGGTCATATATCAGCCGATAAAAGACATGATATATTGGTGAATATGTGTATCTGAATTCCAAAATCCCGATACAGATAGGCGAATATTTATGTAAATTTTCTTATATTCTTCTGCCAAGAGATAGTGTAGTGATGTTGCTTGAGTGCTTCTTATGTAAGCTGTTGGTCAGTGGGCTTTAGCAATTCAGGCTTTGTGTCTCATGAGATTGAAGACGGGAGTTGGAATCACCTAATTGATCAGGATGAGATTTGCTTGAAGCAAGTTGGAGATTAGAGGCCTTAGAATTTCGTGAATAACCCTTTTGGGAAACTGATTTTGGAATTTAGGGAAGAGTAATATTCTTGTCTGTATTTAACTAAGGCTGTGGTGGGTTTTCATGGACAAAAAGAATATAGAAAATGATTCTTTCGGTTAACTAGGATTTTTATGGATTCAGTGGGATTATGTAACTTTGACATTCTGATGTGGACTTTGTGCGCCCATGTCTTTTTTTTTTTTTAAAAAATTCTTCCGTTTTTTTTTTCAAGCTTATTAAGCCAATTTGACACATCTTTTTGATGCAACACACGGTGTCCTTTACCTCAATTTGGTTGTGAAGAAGACATCCTTAACCCTTGTATGGTACACGAGGAGAACCCCATAATTATCTATAATTTTCCTCTAATTCTGCCTCCGGTGCTGTCCAGGGATGTAGCCACACTATGGCCAAAGGTGGCCATGGCCCCCCCTGTGTTTGCCATAACCTATGCATATATAGTATATATGCTTAATAAAATATTATTTATTTTGACCAAATAAATATAAAATAAGACATATGACCAGAAGGCAATAACTAATTCCGTAAATTGAAAAGAAAATTGCTGAATAATTAGTACAAATTCAATCATAGATGAGTTCTGTTATAAAAAAGAACGCTAGGTTCAATTTTGATAGATGTAATTGAAGAAAAAAAGAACTATTTAGTTTTGATTTGTCGATTTTTGCCTTTTTTTTTTTTTAAAGTATCTTTGTTTATATTAACTATTTGATATATTTTGATATGTTGTTATTTTCAAACTAAAATTTATGAAACGTAAATGTAGCTGGAGTTGGATATACATATTGTTTGGCCCCCCCTATCTTGAAATCCTGGCTCCGTCCCTTGTGCTGTCATTTATCTCCCTTGTAATCTCCTAAGGTTTCCTCTTCTATGTATTTTGCTGATTTTTGTATATACTAAGTTGGTGTAATCCTTTTGCTCTCTGTCCTCTTTTTGGAAGGGTAAACTAAAAGTAGAGTCTTGGATTTACAGTCATTCCCTCCTCATATCTTTCTTGCAGTGTGGGAGGTCTATAAAATGATGCAAGTTCATTTACATGTGTATGCTGTGGAGGGACCACTGGAGTTATGAATTGTGCTTTATTTACCTTAGTCTCCTCCCCAACCCTTCTTGATTGGCTGGGCTTGACGTTAGCCTTCTCAAACAAAGGCAGCAAGGCATCTACTATCACTCGGTTCTCATATGCAGACATGGAGCCAATGCTTGCTGAGTGTGCAGTAGAAGAGCCCTTCTTGGATCAGTAGGAGGGCAACTGGATTGGCCAGTTTTGGCTACATTTTTTCTATTTCCTTAACCTATTTCCTGCCTGGCCATTGAATGGCCATCACCTAGGTTGTCTTGCACTCCTTCAACCTCACCTCCAACTCTTCTCCATTTTCAACCCTTTTCTCAGGGTCTTCAAAAACTTCGTGTTGTTTCTTCCTAGCCATCACTCCAAATTAGACAGGTCCCACTAGGCGTGCCAAAATATGTTTGTAAAAATGTAGTTTTGGTCAAATCGACAGAGAAACCAAACTTCCACAAACAACAACAAATTAGACAATTGTGGCTGGTGTTTTATGCCTCGACAGCTTTAAGGACTTCTTTGGAGGTTGTAATGTGAAAAACAAATATAAATAAACTGAAATTTGATTGAAGAACAAGTAAACTTGCCACTTAATTACAAGAATTAAGTTACAAGTTCAAAATGCATAACAATCGACAGAGAAAAACGTGGCCACGGAGGCTGAATTACAAACAAACTACTCCTAAGTGCAAAAGCTACTTCTAATTAAGTTATATTACTCCTAATTCCACATGGGTTGTGAATTTTGTTGAAGGTTCTTTTCTCTTTGAACTTCCACCTTTTATATGACTTTCAATGGCCCTGTTGTGCTGCCATGTGCCTATTGGCCATGCTCTTATAACTGCCCATGAATTGCAACTGCTGCAACTGCCTCTGAATTCCCTTTTTTCCTGGTACTGCCATGTACTACCTCCTCATTCCTCTTTCTTGGGCCATTAACTTTACCTCCTTTATTCTTGGCCCTCTTCTGAATGTGTTTGAGCCTCTGTCGATAGAAAATTTTAAACTTTTGGTGTAAACACCTCCTTAACAGCTTGCTTACGCATGCGTTGGCAACAAAGATTCTTTATTTCTTGTCATTTTCTCCTATACTTGTAGATGTTGCCTGAGCTTTTATCATGCTGATTGTGGATTTCAGTAGTTTGCAGGGCAGACTTTGTACATTCTTCTCTTTTAGTTCATTTCTATTGGAATGAGTATTAGATAATCACCACATAATAAGTTACAGAGACCCATGTTTCAGAGGTACTTCAATCCTGCACTTGCCACATTTCTGTGTGCCACTAAAATCCTGTCTCGAGGTCTGGTATGGACAGAAAGTAGAATGAAATTCCTACCCACAACCTTCCACACCAGCAAAACAAACGTGCCACTAAGGCATCAAATAAGGGGAGAAGATAATGGTAATGACTAAACAATTTTATAGATGCCTCAGATTCCAAAATCTATTTAATATAGAATTTACTATTTCCTCTCGGTTCGTCTTCTCACCAAACTACTAATTTCGAATGCAAAGAAGTGATCAAATTCAAACTATTTTTTCTATCCTCAAATGTATTAGACAAACTTTGCACTGCAACTAACTTAGTAACAGTATTGTTCTAAGAAAAAAAAAAAATAATAAAAACTTAGTAATAGTAGGTATTACCTAGATAGCTAATACGCAGAAAAGTTAGCCCAGTAAATCATATAGAAGACTTGAATATGGCCATTTAGCATGAATTCATACATACATATATTTACACACATAAAACTCATCAAAGCCATAAGCAAAAAGATTAAATTCACTAAACAAAACATGTTCCACAAACACAGTAAGTACCATTTAAAATTAAACTTTGGAATCTCTTGTCAAATTAAATAAGAAAAAAAAAATCAGAACCAAAGAAGAACTTCCAACACTAGAAATCTAATCAATGTGCTTTTATATTTGTGACGGAACTATAGGTAGAAACCATCATACTTAGAAGCCTGCTCATAGCTGAAGAACTTGACTGCTGAATTTGGAACAATACGTGCACAATTAGTACCATTGCCTTTAAATAATCCTCTGAATCCCTCAGTTCTCCATATATATTTCAGGCCTAATGGAATCCATTTTTTAACTAAAATTTGAAGGGGAAAAAATCCCAAAAATAGTTTTAGGAGCAAGTCGTCAAACAAGATTACATGTTTCTTAAAAAATAAAAACAAAAAACAAAAATGATGCCAAACAAGCAATTTAAAGGCCACAATATTTCTTTGAAACCGAATGGATTGGGATGTTGACAAACTTGTCAAGTTGAGTTAGATTGAGATCTGAGTTTATAAAACCTAATTATAATCTAATTGCATAAAACCCGGTTCGTAGCACAAATTGGTTGCAACAAAACCTTTTGAGTTGGGAGAAAATTTACAGTGAATGAGAGAAAGATCACCTAGAGATACAGTCTGTCAACATAACAACAATAGCAAAGAAAAGTTATGGACTTGGAATCAAGGATCAACATCATCACCAACATCTTTATCTTCTTCTTCTTCTTCTTCTTGAAGTAGCATCATCATCATCATCATTCTTGAAGTATGCATGCGCAAGCGCATCAAGAGCTGATATTCTTCTAGCTGGATTCAGGCAGAGCATTTCCTGCATGAAAGTAGGCAAATTTAACATAAACTAGATGGTCTAAGAGAGAGAGAGAGGCAAAAAAAAAAAAAAAAAACAAGAAGAAGAAGGAAGGATCTTTTTAATATATAGAGATCAGCACATACTCAAATTATAAATAGAAACATCATTCAGACATTAGCAAGATCAGTAGCCATGAAGTGCAATAGAGAACCAAATCAAGTACAACTAATATAATGTAACATTTTCATGGACGCAAAAGTTGGCACATCACCACATAGGGGAGAAGAGGGATAGAAGTCGAGTATTGACCTCCGTAGGCAAACAATTTGGCCTCTGTTCTGTTGGTACCCAACTTCTAGATGAGGACATTGAGTATGTTGGATGACAAACCATAAATCTTTGTAAAGTACTCAACAACATACTTCATTGTACCTCTTTCATTAACTGGGAATCTAATAAACATGAGCAATAAACCAGTCAGACAAGGAACATGCGAAAAGAATCTCAAGACATGTGTGAAGTTGCATAATACAAAGGTAAGTTCTTCCATTAAGAATCATAAACTAGACCCTTACCACTGCTAGAAATGGAGGCCTTGTTTGGTTTGTTTTTCAGAAAAATTTTTGGGAAAAATTCTCTACAAACAAATTTTCAAGAGTAATCAAACCAAACAAATTTTTTCAAAAAAAAATCTCAAAATTTGTTTGGTTACCTACTTTCTAAAATCACTCTCTCTCTCTCACATGTACATCAAATCAATCACTTTTTTTAAAATACTCTCTCCCAAAACAATTTTCCAAAACCATTTCTGAAAAAAGGCAAATCAAACCAGTTTTTGTACCTTTTATCTCAAAAATTACTCTACAAACACAAACCAAACACACCCGTAGCACTACAAACAAATTTTCAAGAGTAATCAAACCAAACAAATTTTTTCAAAAAAAATCTCAAAATTTGTTTGGTTACCTACTTTCTAAAATCACTCTCTCTCTCTCTCACATGTACATCAAATCAATCACTTTTTTTAAAACACTCTCTCCCAAAACAATTTTCCAAAACCATTTCTGAAAAAAGGCAAATCAAACCAGTTTTTGTACCTTTTATCTCAAAAATTACTCTACAAACACAAACCAAACACACCCGTAGCTTTTTGCGTCTATTTTTTTGGGACTGATTGTTTGGCCGTCGCCAAAAAAAGAAAAAAAAAAAAAAAAAAAAAAAAAAAAAAAAAAAAAATTGCAATAGCAAATCAGCCGAAGCAAATTAGGAATAGCAAAAAAATCACTTCATTTTACTTGCCATTCATGTGCGCAAGTTATTTTTCTCATTTTCTTTTATTTATTTTCCATTTTACTTAAACCCCCGATTATGTAAAACTTGCCTAGACTCTCGTTTCCCAAATTTGATTTTGCTCGATTGTGATTTGGAGAATCCAAGAGAGAGAAGGACAATTGTCTAGACACAGGAGAATCAAGGAGATCGTGATCGACCATGGTTTCTCTGGCTCGCTCTTCTCTCCCTTTACTTCTTATATACGAAGCACATATGAGAATCAAAGAGAGAGAGAAGGAGATCGAGGCCATATGATTTGGATCTCTTTTGATCTGAATTGATTTTAGGCCTTAGTGATCTGGATAGTCTGATGCAATTGCTCTGCCCTAGTTAATTAGATGATCTGATTTAATCTAATATGATGCTATTGTTCTGTTCGATTAGAGCTTTGATTTCAAAAATGGAGCAATGACCAAGGGCAATGAATAGTTATGGAGTTCTCTCTCTCTCTTTTTGTAATCTCATCTTCTCTCCATTTTTATGGCTAGGGCTTTTTTTTTTTTTTTAATGGATTTTACTAGTTTTTAGATTTTATTGTTGATTTGAATTCGGTTACTCTATTACATTGAATATTCATTTGAACATACTACAAATTGGAAAATTGAATTGCTCTGCATGTATATTGTTCATGTTTGTGAAATCAACTAGTTTCTATTGTCACCATTCAGTCTTCAATTATTGCTGCATTTGGTGAATTTTGTTGTTTTGTGAGTTCAATATATAGCATCTGTGAATTTGCTATTTCATTGATTATCAACAAGTTTGAATTTGTTGAGGCAAGAACTGGCAAATTTGAAATTGGAAGATAAAATGTCCTAGTTTTGAAATAAAATAGGACAAATATGAGAAATATATATATGCTCAGTTTCACTAACAAATAACTCTTGCTTCCTGATTACATTGTAAAATAAGATCAAAATCTTGCAGTTACCAATTAATTTTACAAGACATTTACAAATTTGTGGAAAGGTTAGCAATGATATATAAAAGAAACTAAATAAATGGTAAACAACAGCAAAAAGCCAAATGACAATCAAACTGCTTAATTTTTTATTTTTTTTACTTGCATTTCATTTATCTAGGAACACAACAAATTTAACTCTATTCTTTTTTTTTTTACTGTAAATAATTAGTCAAACAGTAACTTAGTATCATTTAGTTGAAGAATAAAAAGAAAATAAACAACGAATTTCTAAGCTCAGACAGGTGGTCTGATAAGATCTTTTTTGGAGGTTAGGAAAATGTACCCTGCATAGTTTCTATCTGATTTTAAACCCTTTTTGTATGTTTCACAAGAAGTACCTGTAATGTATTATATTATTGTGTAGTGCAGGTTTACGTCCCTTGAAAATACTGCTAGTTATGAGCAGTTCTTGTGTATGTAGACACAATTTTATTACATGGAATTCTTATGTAGACACAATCGTATATGTCGGCAAGCTTGTCCTCATGTGGTCTTGATAACTTTAACAGTCCATTTGGTAACCTAGGTGAGAAAGAGAAGAATGAAAAGATTATAGGTGCTGGATGCATCTAGTGGGCAACAAGCTTCAAAAGAAGATGAACAGTATGCCACTATTCGAACAAACATTGAGCAGTCCATAATCTGAATAGTGAGCTTATTGATTCTTTTTTTTTTTTTTTTTGAACAGTGAGCTTATTGATTCTGTTCTTGATGTTGTGAGGAAAGAGGCTAAGAATTATGATTATGTTAATAATTGCTTGTTGCTTGTAGTGTTTCTTTTTCTTTTCCTCCAAATGGTGTGTATTGAGATCATGAATTAGATATTTAAGTATTAATTCTTATTTTCATTGATACTGCCAACTTATGAAAATCGTGCTCAGACGTTAATGAATATTGTTAATTCTTTTTTCTTTGGCTTTGCAGGTATGATCAGACGTTAGTGAATATATTGTGCAATAGTTGGGTTCTGTTAAAAAGGGGTGGTGCTACTGTGTTGTTAATATTGTCTGCCTTCCCATTTTACCATGTGCAACACTTCCAAAATATGAATAGCAATTTACTTATCTAGTTTTCTCATATTCTATCTATGATTTTGGATTATTTATGATCTCTCTGTGCATCCTTAGGTTTGCAGACTTTGAGTTAAAGTTCTAAGTTTTGCAGTAAACATTCAATCGAAATTCAAGCTGAAACCCTAGCATCTTTTGCACTCTCAGTAGGCCAAACTAGTGTTGCCACCATTTCTTCTGCAAGGTAAATTTTACTGCTAAAGTTCAATTTATGTTTATAATCGTGTATAGATGATGAAATATTAAATTCTAGGTTAGTTGTTTGGTGCTTTGGATAGATGATTGATAATAAGGGATTTATGTTACTTGAGCCTTGATTTGTTAAAATTCATACAAAAACCTTTACAAGAATGATGTGGCAATGCTCAGAGAAGAAATTTAGGGGCTGTTTGAGGTGTCCTAAATAAGTGTACTTTTTGACTTTTTGGACTAAAAAGTTGAGGAAAAAAAGATGGTTGTTTGTGTTAACTTTTTGACTTTTTACGAAAAAATGTGTATTAAAAAATTGTATAAATTAGTGTGTAGGAAAAGATAAGGACAGTAGGCAGTACGGCCGTACCGTCTGGGGGGAGTGAATTGATGATAAGAAATGGTTGCCTACTTTTCGAGCATTGCATTGGATGGTGTTGTTGGCCTGTGGGGCCCATCACGGGTCCCGTTTTGATAATCTGAACCTTTCAATGTTTAGAACTCATCAAGTGCTATATGCCTGTAAAAAATCACGTTGATCGGATATCGATAGCTATCTAATTGGATTAGTTTTTTTTTTCAACCGTCAACTATAACACCATCCATTTTTTTATATAAAACTGATTTAATCATGTAGTTAGCGATATCCGATCAACGTGATTTTTACAGACATATAGTACTCGACGAGTTCTACATATTGAACAGTTTAGATTATCAAAACGGGACCCGTGATGGGCCCTCACGGGCAGAACAACATTGTGCTGTTTGTGCACCTGTGCAATTTTTCCAAAAAACTCAGCAACTGTTTGTGGGATGTCAGACTGAGTTGTAATAATTTGTGTGTAAAATTAAATAGTTTTTTTTGGTGAATAGTGATAACGTTTTAACTTTTTTAGTAACTTTTTGGATTTTTTTTGGGTATCCCAAACTAGGCCTTAAATTTAGTACTGTTGGAATTGATCGTATAATTCTACATAACTTTTAATTATAGTTGCTTGCATTATTATTTTCCTATTTCCTTTCCATGAGATTGTGATGCATTCACAGAATATTCCAGCATGCTGATTGATTAATTATATAAAAACCAGAGCCCAACCAGTGTCACTAACTCACTATGAAATCAAAATGGACTAAGAACTTGTTTGTATGCTCTATTTGTATGCTCCATGAAAATGGAAATCTATAGACTAGAATAATCAAGAAAATACAGCCATCATGATGAAGAATGATTAAAATTTGGAACAATGCCTTTAATTATTTTCTTATGTCCGTAGTAATTAGATAATGTTTCACTTTTGTGATTCACTTAAGTGAAAAAAAATCTAATTTTGTTATGTTATCTACATTCTGCATGCATTGAACACACAATACATTATGTGTGAGATTTGAACATGGTCTAACTGATTCAATTAGAAAGGGTTGCCTTTCTTTAGAGCACAACATGAATTTTTAAGTAATCATCTTAATAGAACCTGAAACTTAAATGAATGTGATCAACCAATGGTGTTAGAGAGTTTAGTCATAAAGTGACACCTATATTTATGAGGAAAAGTTGTGTTTCCAATTTGAGTATTGATGCTTAA